TGGGATCCCATCTAGTCTGCTATTTCTCTCGTGGGCTCCACCCTATCACCTGATTCCACCTCATCAATTAACTCCAACGCATCAAGTGACTTCACTTGACTCCAAATGACTCCATGCGTCTGGAGTCCGCTGTTTCCCCCTTGGGTTTACTCCCAAATTTGGGAAAAGATAAGAACGATTTACCCCCGAATTTCAAAAAATATAATAACGATTTACTCGCAAATTTCGAAAAGGATCAGAACCATTTACTCCCAAATTTGGGAAATGATAAAAACGATTTACTCGCAAATTTGGGAAGAGATAAGAACGCTTTACACCCAAATTTCGAGAAATATAATAACGATTTACTGGGAAACTTCGGAAAAGATAAGAACCGTTTACTCCCAAACTTGGGAAAAGATAAGAACGATTTACTCGCGAATTTGGGGAAAGATAAGCACGATTAAATTCGGGGTATTACCCCCGAACCCCGAACGATAGAACACGATAGTGTGTGTTTCAAATTTTTGACAAACGTTGGTAAGTCGGCTGACGGGCGAAACCGAAGGAAGGCCGAAACCACCACCAGCTGAAAAAAGTAATTTGCAAATTTTCTGCAAGGCTTCGGAGTGGAATCGACTAAATCTTCAGAATCAGCGTTGAATTCTACGTCTAGTGATGTACCTCTTAAAGAATTTGCACAACTTAGATCTTCAATGTTCAAAGGAGGGACAGGGGCAGGTTTGGCAGGCCAAAAACAAAATCTTTTCAAAAAAAACCTGAATCGGTCATTTTGTTCAGAATTCGACGCTGATTCCAAATATGTAGATGGTTCTTATCTTTTCTGAAATTTGTCAGTAAACCGTTCTTATCTTCCCCGTGTTTTCATGAGATAGCTTGTCATGATCTAAAAATAATCAATAAACAACCGCATTGCATGAAGGATCCGCTAAAACCATACCCGATTTCAAAACAATTTATTGCCCCGTTCAATCAGTCACCACGTAATTGTCTGGTAGACTGAATCAGTTTAACTATTTCGTTGTCGTTGCCGATTTCCGTCTAGGCGATAATGTACGATCTAGTCATCATCATAATGGCGAAAGCGGCAATTATCGATCGATCTATTCTCTAAATAGATCGATCGAGACCCTAGTCAGACACTGAGACATACTGCGGTTACTCAAGCTGTCTCTAGCAGAAATAAATCGACAGAGAAAAGTGCTTTAGCTGCATTGTTTCTTCGACAACTATAGTGACTGTGGTGCTCTCAAACAGGCGATAATGGCAATTTTGAGCCGGTCGAGTAACCAGGTTTGTTTGCCACGCATCTACGAGGTAACGCTCGTATACCACTTACTCGGTCTCATACCTTTGGCAACTTATATTGGCATAAGCACAGATTTGATGTGATTGACTATGCTGAATCAGGATATGGTTAGTTTTGTCCGTCAAACGTGATTATAAGATCGAAAAAAGTCCTTCAAATGGAAACAAAAAAAAGAACGAACGAACTTAGGAAGCAATTTTGCAAAATGAAAGTTTATTGTCGCTAAAGTTCTATCAATTGGCAAGATTTGACACGATCCGAAGCAGAGTGGAAACTGGACGTTTTTTTAAATGGTCCTGTCAGAGTGGTTGAAAAAATTTCAACCTGAGTTTTTTCATTAAAGTCTAGAATGTCAGTAAAAAACTAAGAGTAACAGCGGCTACTAGATATATCATTTGTAATTGAATAAAATATATATTGAATTAAAATGAGCACAGAAATAGTTTACATATATAAAATTCGAAATTTAGAATTTCACTATCAAGAAAAGCTAAGAATATTTTTGTACTCATTTTAATTAAATATATATTTTATTCAATTACAAATGGCACTTCTAGTAGCCGCTGTTGCTCTTACGAAAGAAAAGTCTAGAATGCGTTTCGAAAATTCGAATTCTATAAGTACAGAGAAAAGAAATGGCTCACATAGATGCAATGCATAGGAGATAGTATACATCAACGAGAATGGAGATCAATTCGTCTAGTACAAGCTTTGAGCTTCAACGTTGAAATTTTTACGATTAAAAAAATTCAATTGTATACTCACATTACTAATAGATTATTATCATTGAAGCCCAAATACCCAAGTAAAGCAATCATTAAATCATCAACAACACTTTCTAAATTGTGATACTCAGTCTGAACTAAACATAGTAATTTAAATAAATGCTGATCTTGATGACTTCGTTTGACATGTTCGTTTCTAGAAATTTCGACTAGATTGATAGTTTCACAATCACCTATTAACGTTTTTGCACGTGCTAAAAATAGACGAAGAAAAGAGAATATTACAGTACATTTTCATTTTGCTCGATTTGAAAAAAAGTAAGTTTTAACATACTCGATAAACCATATTTTACAAGTTCAGGTGCAAAATCTTGAAGTGTGGTTTTGTTCATAAATGTAATACTGAAGTGGTCTAGCGTTGATGAAGTCCAATCGGATCCTGATATTGCTGGTAAACTTGTTCTCTTAACTTTTTTCTTAGTTGTTTGTGGTTCTAAAGAAAAAGGTTACACTGAAGGTATCACTGTTTTTTAGCTTAGGCTATTTAAAAGTCAAATCATTTCAAATTTGAAACATCCCGACTTGTTGCGCATCATTTCTGAATTAATGATTATAACTAGAAAATGTTTAATATTTACTAGTCAAATCTGACAATAATGAACGTATTACTAATAGATGCCCTGGTTCATTTATTGATTCAAATTGTTTTTCCATTCTACGAAGCAAAGCTAAACCTAAAAAGATAAAAGAGCAGAAAAGTAACTTTGATTACCAAGCTCACCAATCCAAGCGAACGTACCATTAAATCTAAAATCATTTACGTTTAAGTCTAACAACGAATATTGTTCTTTCATCAATAATAACCATGTCTGAACATTTTCAACCGTCCAGTTCCGAACATCAGATGCTAAGAAAACAAATTTTAAAGCATTTAGCATTACAGAACCAAACTAAGTTCAATGACATTTCAAACTTACGAAGAGCCTGACTTTCAGCCATCAATGTGTTGTCAAAAAAACTTTCTTGATATTATGAAAAATCTAAAATGGAAATGTTATCTTCTTCCAACTGTAAATGTTTGATATAGAACAAACGACCTTACAATACAAAAGAGCACAAAAATGTTTTTTAGCATATCTATATATTCCATTATCTAGTTGTCTTGGCCGAAAAAGAAAACGGTCCTCCTAGAAAACTAATTGTGTTTGTTGTAGTTGAAAAAGTATAACAGAACAAAGAAAGGAAGGCTAAAGTATCTAACGTATTTACGTGTCGATAGTTTGTTGAGAAATGATTGACATATAGCCATTTGCAAGACAATATAAAGCACGTAGTGCATCACACGAATCCTTGACTTTGTTTCCGATCTGATCGAACTGTACACATATTATGCAGGCATAAGAGGTCACCTGAACGTCACGAGACTCAGATGAGTAAAAGAAGATGGATTCATTTGAGCTAACACGAGATCGGAAGAGGCCCTCTTTATAACTAACCCTCTTCAAGAGGGTTAGTTATAAATATACTTTGCAAAAAGTTGCTATAGTAAATCTCGCATTTATAACTGTAGATGCTATGGAAGGAGGATATCAGGTCCGAATAAGGCCTATCCACTTGGGTATATCTATGTTTTGATGCGACATTTAACAGTAGGAATGAAGTCAACTATGTACATTTACAGAAACTAATAGAGTTATGTCCTATACAGTGAGATAAAAGTTTTAATTTTGTACCAAATAAGATAATGTTTTTATAACTATACCATATTGCATAATGATATGAAACATTGAATCTACCACATTTTGCTCAATAAAATTTATGCGTATAATCAGTAGTGGTAGAACTTGAAATAAAGGATTAAACAAGAGTGATGAATATATACATAAGAATGTACTATTCTTAACCTGGTCTGTATCTAAGATTGGTAAAAAAACATTCCGTTACTTGGAAAGATTTCTAGAAAACCTTTCAACAACCAAAGCATTTTCTATTGATTTTTAAAACTTTTAGTGAATACTAAACAGTTTTTTATCACCTTGGATGATATGGTTTATGAGGCCGAATATATACGAACAATGAATGCTTATGATCAATATTGCATGTTTGAACAAAACGTACAGTTTCATCGAAAAAGTTATATTAGTTACTATTATTCATTGAGTTCTCATCAGTGTTTCTAATCAGAATCAGAGACAGAATGTACTGGTACACTTTATTTCAGAGCCCACAGTGTACGCATACAATCTGTTTTCCAAAACAAAGTGTAGCAATATTTGTGGCCTATCATAAGCTACAAAAACAAACAACGTGAAAAGTAAAAACAAAGCTAACTAATTACAGTCCTATTAAAACACTAGGATGACTCATTTTGAAATGATATAGTCTCTAAATAAACGGACAAAAACTTGCATAAAACCAAAGTGTAAATTAAAAATTTGCGCTACTCACTAGAATACAAGTAGTAGAGAAATTATAACAGATCCTTTCCTTTGTGTATTCCCTTGACTTACCATGAAAACTCACACGACACAGTTATCAGGGTTTCTAATGAGAATTTTGAACAGCGCGTACATAAGCGTGGTAATTCGTGGATTTTATTGTTCTGTCTTTTCCTATTGGTTGATACGAAGCATATTTTCAATTTAGTTCGCGTACCGTACGCTTTGGAACAAAGGCGTACGCGTAATGTTAGAAACACACTGTAAAACTTGGAATCGGAAAAGTGGGTGACCAATCACCCACTTTTATGTATTGGCCAACCAGAAAAGTGGATGAAACTCTTGCTGTCATCCACTTTTATTGATGAAGAATTAAAGTGGATG